CGATCTTAGGCGGGGGGGGCCAGCATCTCCAGCCCGTTTTACATTGACGGGCCGCCCCGTCCCGCCCCGTTTTTGGCGGGACAATGGCGGGCCGGGCCAAAATGGGTCGGACTGGCCCGTTTTGCCATCCCTACTAACAAGTTTAATAACTCATATTCTACATCAAATTTTAACAATCCAACCGTTGAATTTAAAGTTTTTAATGTATAGATCAAATTTGTAAATTTTTAAAAAATTTAAAAATTATTTGATATTTCGTTTCATTTATTCAAATCAATGTATAAAATAATTTTTTGATTATCTATCAATTTGAATTAATGAAATAAAGTATCAAATGATTTTCATTAAAATTTGATGTAAAACATGAGTTATTCATCAAAATAAGTCTATATAAACTTATTCCTGAAATAAATGAATCGCTTCTTATTATTTAATGCATTAAAAATGTCCAAAAATGAAACAATTTTTTGTTCACATCTATTATGATTAAAAATACATATTTGATCTAAAATGTAACACATCACCCCAGTCAAAACACCTCCATCAAATCTCACTTTCGTCCCTCATGGCCAACATATATATCTAATAAAAGGAACATCTTCCAGAACATCTACGTATCCAGCAACCTAAGATGCTGCACTCGTTCTGCTCCCTATCATACCTTCAAAGTCAACTTAGCCTGGGTAACTCTAAGGCTAAACGACCATCTTAGAGCACTTTTACAAACTATTTACTAAAATGGGGTTGTTTTGAAACATATTACACCTTTGGGATTGTTTTCTACGGTGTCGCTATGGCCCATAGCGACACCTATGACACGTGGTAATTTTGTAACTCCAGCGAAGTCATGAAAGCCATATTGATAATGTTGCTACAGCCTATAGCGACACAAAACAGCTCCACTGAAGTCGCTATACCCTACAGCGTCAAATATTTAATATAAAAAAAATAATTTTACTATAAGTAAATAATTTTAAAAAAAATAATTTGTGAAAGTGGCGCTATGGCCTATAGCGACACGGTGTCGCTATGGGTCATAGCGCCACCCAATTAAAAATTAAAAATGATAAAAGGAGAAACAAATATTTAAAGAAATTATTTAAAGGAATTATTAAATATTTAAATACATATTTAATTCGTAATATAAGTATTTAAAGAAAAAAAATATATAAAATAAACAAATTCAAAAGAAGAAAAAAATATATAAAAACAATTGGCAGTGTCCATAGCGACACTGCCTTTAATTTTTTTCATTTTTTTAATTACGCATTTTTTGTTTAATATTTTTTAATTAACATATAAAGAAATTATTAAATATTTAAATACATATTTAATTCGTAGTATAAATATTTAAAGGAAAAAAATATATAAAATAAACAAATTCAAAAAAAGAAAAAATATATATATATAAAGAACTGGCAGTGTCCATAACGACACTGCTTTTAATTTTTTTTATCATTTTTTAATTACACATTTTTCATTTAATATTTTTTAATTAACATATAAAGAAATTATTAAATATTTAAATACATATTTAATTCGTAATATAAATATTTAAAGGAAAAAAATTAATTTAGTTAATATTTAAAAAAAAAAAACCTACAAACATAGTGGTGTCGTTGCCCATAGCGACACCACTTTTTTATTTTTTTAATTTTTTTTTAATTACGTTTTTTAAAGGAAAAAAAATATTACATTTAATTACGTTTTTGTGACCCAGTTTATTTTAAAATTTAATTATATTATATTAAACAAATTATATATAAATACTGGAAATGTAAGGCGCTGTGGCCCATAGCGACACAGTGTCGCTATGGACCATAGCGTCTCACTTAAAAATTACATAAAAATTTATTTTAAAATTACATTTTTAAAAAACTTAATTTTATTTTTATAAATATATAATAAATAACTCAGTTTATTATTTTTATTTTACATTTCTATTATTTTCGTTTTTTTTTTCTTAGAGGGTGTCGCTACAGGCTACATCATTTTTGTTAGTCCATCAATTGTGTTGGCCCAGCCTATAGCGACACTGATGTAGCTCATTCCAGCCCACCCTAGACCAAAAAAAAAATTGTCACGTGTCATAGTTGTCGCTATGAGCCATAGCAACACCGTAAAAAACAACTCTAAAGGTGTAATATGTTTCAAAATAACCCCATTCTGATAAATAGTTTGTAAAAGTGCTCTAAAATGGTCGTTTAGCCTAACTCAATGTTACCCATCAACAATTATTTTAACCGGGTTAGGAGGAACAGGCGCATATAAAATTTTGGAGAAGTCCTACTAAGAAACACAGGTTGGGGATAAAAATCAAAATGCAAAGAGAGATCCTGGAACGAGGGTTGAATTGATTATAGAAAGGATAATTTAAAACATTGAATTAAAAAACTAATAAAACTAACAGTCGTAAAGTATTTTTATTAATTTTTATAAAGGCCTTATTTTGTATCTAACTTAAGGCTT